GGGGGCGTGTCGCTGGTTCCTGGGGTGAGCCTGCCGTGGGAGGAGGGTCGTGTGCGTCGCCTGACCGGGAGCTTGTCTAGGCCATTGGGAGTCACCGGGCTTGACTGTCAGTGTCCCTGTCCCACCCATGCCAGCGGCCTGAGGCCCTTCAGGTGGGCTGAGTCTTGGACCCTCGACCCCAGTCCATTCTCCACCCCACTCACGCCTCCTTCAAGCACAGGGTTGGGACCCAGGCAACAGGTGTCGCTCAGCCCCCAGCCTGGTGGATAAGGCCCCCCAGGGCAGGAGGGTCAGCAGCTCCAGAGCCTGGCCCAAGGCCACCTCAGCTCCCGGTGCTGGTCCGTGGACCGGACATTCCTGTGCCCAGCCCCAGGGACAGTTTCCAGGGTAGCCCTTGTTTGGGGTGTCCATCCTTGGGGTGACTGCCATCCAGATGTTCACCCATGTGTCTCCTGGAGGCCTTGGGCCCTCGTGATGGTGGCTGCTGCAGGCCTGCCTGTCCCTACGATCTTAGCCTGGTGTTAGGAGACCCCGTTCATGACTGACCAGGTGCCCCAGAGCACCCCTCAGGTCCACCCTCGCCCCAGTACACATGGTGCCTGGCACAGACCCCAATGACACCCCCTTTCCTAGCTAGGGCCAGTCCCTGGATCACCCCACTGCCCCCTACAAAAGGCACATTAGACAACTCCAAGCTGCCTCTTGCTGACCTCAAGGCACACAGAACTGGACACCACTGTGGCCCCCAAGTGCTCCCGCCTGACAGGACAGCAGACGGGACACAGTCCTTGGATGGCGATCCTGGACNACTGCCCCCTACAAAAGGCACATTAGACAACTCCAAGCTGCCTCTTGCTGACCTCAAGGCACACAGAACTGGACACCACTGTGGCCCCCAAGTGCTCCCGCCTGACAGGACGGCAGACGGGACACAGTCCTTGGATGGTGATCCTGGACAGGGACTCTGTGACAAGGACCACAGGAGGCCCTGACCCAGCCAGAGGTCCANACCCCAGTCCATTCTCCACCCCACTCACGCCTCCTTCAAGCACAGGGTTGGGACCCAGGCAACAGGTGTCGCTCAGCCCCCAGCCTGGTGGATAAGGCCCCCCAGGGCAGGAGGGTCAGCAGCTCCAGAGCCTGGCCCAAGGCCACCTCAGCTCCCGGTGCTGGTCCGTGGACCGGACATTCCTGTGCCCAGCCCCAGGGACAGTTTCCAGGGTAGCCCTTGTTTGGGGTGTCCATCCTTGGGGTGACTGCCATCCAGATGTTCACCCATGTGTCTCCTGGAGGCCTTGGGCCCTCGTGATGGTGGCTGCTGCAGGCCTGCCTGTCCCTACGATCTTAGCCTGGTGTTAGGAGACCCCGTTCATGACTGACCAGGTGCCCCAGAGCACCCCTCAGGTCCACCCTCGCCCCAGTACACATGGTGCCTGGCACAGACCCCAATGACACCCCCTTTCCTAGCTAGGGCCAGTCCCTGGATCACCCCACTGCCCCCTACAAAAGGCACATTAGACAACTCCAAGCTGCCTCTTGCTGACCTCAAGGCACACAGAACTGGACACCACTGTGGCCCCCAAGTGCTCCCGCCTGACAGGACAGCAGACGGGACACAGTCCTTGGATGGCGATCCTGGACAGGGACTCTGTGACAAGGACCACAGGAGGCCCTGACCCAGCCAGAGGTCCAGAAGGACCCCACGAAGGGGGGACTAGCTGAGCTGGGCACCTCTTGGCCAAGTGTGCAGAAACATGAGGCCTTGGCCAGACTCTCCTCCCAGTGCCCTGGCCCCTCCCACCACCATGATGACCGTCCCCAAGGCACTATCTTGGCCCCAGCCTCCATCATGAGCCTCCTGGCCTCTTGCCTGGGTTCTGCAGGCCTCCCCAGCCCTGCGTGGCCATGCCAGCGTGGGCACACCAGCACATCCCACCTCCCGACACCCACCCATACCCGTCCCCTCCCTGGGCCGGCCTGCCCTCAAGGAGCTGTTGCAGGGGGGGCTTCCCAATCCGCCGTCTGTAGGAGTTTGCAGAGGAGAAGCCTTCCCAGTGGGACACCCGGCATCTCCACCCATCCTCTGGGGTCCGAGTGACTTGGGCACTGCCCACCTTCCCTTTCTCACCCTGTGGTCAAGGAGCAGT